TTACTTCACGCCGGATCAGCGATTAATGCTTTACAAATCGCAAATCCGGCCCCATATGGAGTATTGCTGTCACTTATGGGCGGGAGCACCTAGATACCAGCTTGAACCCTTCGACTCAGTGCAACGACGAGCTATGAGAATTGTCGATGATCCCATGCTTGCAAGCGGTATCGAACCCTTAAGTCTTAGGAGAGATTTTGCCTCACTCTGCGTGTTCTACCGCTTATACAACGGATTGTGCTCAGAGGAATTATTCAATATGATGCCTACGGCCACTTTCTATCATCGTACGGCTCGCCATCGGCAGGGAGTTCACCCTCATACCTTACAGCCTAAATGGTCGCGTACAACGCGGTTTCAGAGATGCTTTCTCCCACGAACACTCAGGTTATGGAATGAGCTCCCTGCCGAGGTTTTCCCGAGAGACTACAGCATGGGGTTCTTCAAAAGGGGGGTAAAGAGGTTTCTTCAGGGTCGGCAACGCGCGCGTAATATCTCTGGTATTGCAGGCGTTCATAGGCTACGGTAACCGCTTACCATCAGGTGGGCCGTATGCTTGTTTGCCACCTCAGTGGTATAAAAAAAAAAAAAAAAATTCAAAAAGATTTTGAATGTAAGAACAGAGTTACTTTTTATTCAAGTAAACTGTAAATTTATGAATAGCCACATTCTATGATCCTACCGCCTATTCGGAACACAATTTTGCTTCAGAACAAGCTGAGATTGCTTTGTTAAAAAAAAACGACGGCTACCACAAAATAAATTTATTTTTTTAGAGCACGACATGTGACCACACCATTCTGAGCGAACACAGAGACAATATGGTCCACGAATAGAATCAAAGGAAAAGAGAATTATTTACTCTCAACGGTTAACCGCTAGCTCACTAAGTGCTTTTTACATGCTAAGTTTGAAGGTTCCGAGGTTATAGGATGAAGGAAACACATTATGAGAAAGGCCATTCCACATTTTTTACGGTAATGTTCGGGTAAGAGTTGGCAAACTTACTTTTACGCATGTAGTCTACTATGTATGGATGTAGTCACTGACCCATCTTTATCATTTGATATCAGAAAAGGGAAAGTGAAATAAGGGAATGAAATTCTTCTGAGCACTCTCCATGGATAAGGTGGCAGAAAACACTGAGGGAGGTCACATCTTTATGTAATTCTAGAGTTTTTTTTCACCTTGGTGTCTCCCACGATACAGCTCGTCTCTGTAGAATATCGAGAGCATGTACTAAGAGGAAGTAGAGGAGATACTAATCGGAGCCATCCCAAAGATGCGAGTAGACACACACACGACCTTATTTGTGCTTTATATAGCAAAAAGCTTTGCTCTAGTATGAAGTATTGTTACGATCTATTCAGACTATGGTACCAACACGGGAGTAAACACTATCGATTGTTAAAAGAATTATCAAAATTAACTCAGAATTAAGAATTCAGAAATAAGAATTGAATATAACTACAAATAAAACTGCTCAAAAATAACCTAATACATTTGTATTTGTAGCTATGTCTTTAAAAGTCAGTCTAAGTAAAATCAAGTTTGAACAAATACAATTGAGTAGCCGGTCAGCTGTTAACAGTCCCGGTGGGAATAGACCACCCCTTCCTTTCCCGTAGGTGTCGTAAAAGACAACTAAGAGAACTTAATGAGAGAGATGGGCAGCAGCATCCCTCTTAAAGCATCACCAAAGCCTTACCATAGTAGCCAATCTGCTTGCTAAGCGTGACAACTACTGGCAAAGCCTCCAGTAGGAGGAGGTCTATGTTCAACAGTGACAGTTAACATCTGACATTAAATATGTACCTATATTCTCCTTTTTCAAACGATCCTACTTTTGGTCAAGTTAAGAGAGAGTCATGAAGTGACCTTATTTTGTAGAGTAATAATTACTATATTTATACCGTAGTTTAATTATATCAGTAAACTGTTTGCATACTGACTGCCTAAATATTAAGCCACTGCTGAGGTCTCCTCTTTATTCTTTCATACAATCCATCCATACTATCTTCTGAATTATCATTTTCTAAATACCAATTCTATATATTGAAATTCGTTAAAATTTTTAATTTGATCGCGAATTTTAATTTTGAATATAAATAGAACTAGAAGGTAATAGTTAATATAGCATTATATTATCTGTAATATCGTTTAAATATATTTGTGTAGGACTTTTAGCATGTTCGATAATGTATTTGACTTTTAAGGTCCTAAATAAATAGACTTCCAAGTGAAATCTACGAACCATTCTTAACTACTTTGCAGCGGTCTCTTTGTTAGACACACTCTACTTCAGACTTTCCAGATTTACTGTTTTCTAAATTCAATTTTGTAAGCGGTAAGCAACAAAAATAGAATTACATGTCTTTTAGTGTAATTATAATGACACTGACATTTCGATATTTTTTATTTTTATTTAGTCGTGTAATAAAACAAAAATATTATTTGATACTAATATTAACCTTCATTTATTAATACTAGCTACAAAATGTACTTAAACATAGACAATATAATATTGGATACATATAGCATCCATAACGAGATACTTCTTTATGGAAATAAGTCGAATACTTATCATAATCATCTTGGTACAAAAATAATATTTTTTACTGACTTAACAAATTACGTAAATACATTCCTATCCTATAACATTACCCAAAAAAAACAAATGCCTGTTCAACGCCAGCTATTTAATCATACGGTACACTAGCGAAGCTATAAGTTAAACGTTAGTAAATAGATACGAGGTACGGTAAAATAGTGGCCCATAGAGAATACCTTTCGACATAAAAGCGCAAAGTTTCGGTTATATTAATTTTCTAACAGTATTTAAAACATATAAAACTAGAGTGTAACTATATAGATATCCACTTCTAACATAGAATCAAGCATTTTCAAGTAACTTCAAAAAGAAGGAGGTTCGCAATTCGTTTGTTTTTCTTTACAGAGCGAATTTTTGTTTCTTGCGAAATAATCTAAGAGTATAGACATATGCTTCCATGTTCCATATTCAAATATTTTATATATACGTAATATCTCAACATTTGATTTTCCTTTTTTTATTTCGAAATTAGAATAATGAAATTTTTAGACTCTTTTTTAGTTGATAGTTGACGTATCAAATTAAACATTATCTAAAACATTTATACGATAATATATGTATGTTACTTGCATTGTCACGTGTTTTATTAAGCTGGATTTAGGATTGTTTTTCATAATATTCAGTTACGCCGTATACAGTCCTTTAATCTGGCTTAATAATATATATATATATATATATATATATATATATATATATATATATATATATATAGAATGTGACTATTAATATCACCCACCTGTATATTCCAGAAGAATGCTTTTAGAATGGATATCTCATATGCTACAATCTGCGTGGGTGTAAATTTAAATATTTTCCCTTACCTGGCTATATGACTATTTCATTCCAGCTACGCCCACAATTTCGTTTGAAAGACAGTTAAAATTAAACACACATTATGTCTACATTCTTTATCTTTTTTTTTAATAAAACCCTCGATGTTTTACTTGTTCTCTATGTAGTGCTAGTTTACAAGCCTCGCATTCACTGGAAATTCTAGTGTCTTAGGAAAAATTCTTGAGCACCGCTGTAATCTTGTAGTTACATAAACACAAAAGACTTGCACCACGCTGGATTTTGTATCTACTAAGCTTGAATTTTTATTACACTGACTAGATGTTCGATTTGCAAAAATTTAATACCTTTTTATCGCGTAAAGATATTTTTGTTTTGATTCAACAATGATGACTTTATCTATGTAATGTTAGAGTTGATATTATTATTTCAGCCGTTAACTGTCCACTGTTGGGCATAAACCTTCCCCATAAAGGGAGTTTTGCCAGTAGTTGCCATACTTGGCAAGCGAGATGACAACCGCAATTAGGCTTTAGAGACGTTTTAAGAGGAACGCTGCTGCCTATCCCTCGCCCTCCCTTAGTGGACTCTTACGACGCCCACGGGAAAGAAAGGAGTAGCCTATTCTATACCGGGACACATGGCGAATTGTGTTGATATATATTAGTAAATATGTTTTAAAATGCAAACATATTTTTAGAAAATTAAAACAAATCTCTTGTATCTTTTTTATATTATAGGTAAATACCTGCTACATTACAAATAAATACATGTATTTTGGTTTTAAATTTCAACTTGTATCTCTATAAAATAATGTTACCACATTTTAATTTAAAATGAATTATTCTTCCACTTATTACGTCATATATTTTCTATTTCTTATTCATGCTTATTCCAGCGTTAGAGCGCTGATGGAATTTCTAATAATAGCATAAACACAAGAACCGCTATTTACTTTTTTCATAGAAAAAAAATCCTTTTATTTAGATATAGTTTTTGTAATCCTTTTACAGTGTAGTAAGATTTGTAGTTAAAAATAACATAGAAACAAAGATATATAATAAGATTAACAATTATTAATCTGTGGTTTAAGGGACGAAAAGTTACTTTCAGACTATTTTTAGACATCAAAGTCACCAGATTGTCAAGGATATATAAATATTTTCATCCATTTATCATCTTTTATTTATACTAATATTATGAAAAAGCAAACATTTGTTTGTTTGTTATAAAATAAACTCAAATATTGCTAAACTGATTTTAAAACTCTTTCATCTATAGAAAGCTATATTATTAAGGAGTAACATAGGCTATATATTATATCAGGCGTTAACTGCCCATTGCTGAAGATATACCTCCCCATAAGGAAGAATTTTGCCAGTAGTTGCCATGCTTGGCAGGCGGTTAAGCTTTGGTGATATTCTAAGAGCGAGTCTGTTGCCCATCCCTCGAACATTCAGTTCCCTTAATAACTTCTTACGACACACACGAGAAAGGAAGAAGACATTCTATGCCAAGACCACACGGCATTAATATAAAATTCTGTCCCGCGCAAAGCCGGACTGGATCACTAGTATTATTATATATATAAACTTACCTGATTGCTGAGCGACGGGTGCAGACAGAGCGTGAGATAAACCCATAAGAAACAATGCCGTAGCCAATTTGCAACGCGTAAAAACCGCCATCGTCTTCTGTAAAAGAAACATATTATATGTTAGACGAAAATAGAATTCAATGTATTAGGTGTTGGTATTTCCGATTTCGTTCGCTCGACTAGGACGTATTGATTGACCGACATAAAAAGTAAAGTGTCCTTCTTCCTCACAAATATATGAATAACAAATATGACAAATGTTTGAGCTATAAATGTGCCAAAAAGTAACAAAGGAATGATCAGATACGAGAATTTGATCGTACTTAGAAATAAGTGATCTTATCGCTAAAAGCGATCTCTTTCAAGTTGAGGCAACTTTTGTATAGAGTAACGATAAACACTAGTCTTTACGCTAAATCCCTTGCAGAGTAGGTAGACAGAATCGAATATTAAATAAGGACCCTAACCTTATCTCTTGGTTCATCTATTTTTAAACCTCGCGTCACCAGTTCTGTAAATTTTTGATGCCTCGAATCCTAAATATTTCGTGGTCCATTAATTTTCTAAAGTATCGTTATCATAAGACAATCCTTTAAATTTTAATGAGCCTTTATTCAATATAGATCTTTTGGAAAGATAACATAATCTCAACGCCGAACGCTTCTACAATGCAAATATCTAATACCGTCTCCTGTCATCAAATTTGATAACAGATCATAGATTAAAAATATTATAACACAATTTAGTAACGTAAAAAAGAAAATCCATAAATTTTAAGTGAATGTAACTGGTATGAGTTACATGTGCAGTACCCGGATATAATAAATCCTAAAGAAATCCCACAAAATTACATATTTTATATGGAAGCTTGCTTTCAACATTTAATTTTTACTGCGATGTTATAGAAGCGTTACAAATGTCTTTTACAGAAATTGATAACAAAATTTTGCTTTTAATCTATGTTCTGAATGCACACGTAATGTAATTTAAAAAGAACAAATACGTGAATATCTTTTATTATTTTACATTTACTTCCTTTTAGTTCAAAAACTGTCACATGGGTTACACTCTTACACATTACACGCACACTATTGTAATTAGTTCGTCTCAGCTCTCTCATTAAATTTCTACCCCCTACCTACCTTTTTAATAAAAACGTCAATCTTCTCATAAAAGTTTTTTAGCTATTGAAATGATATGTTTTTATATTTTGCGCCATATTCTCGACTAGATTTTACCCGCGATTTCGTCCATGTGACTGGAATATACATATATATATTTACTGACCGGGACTAAAAGTAGCTTATATCCATCTCCATCTCTTATAGTATGTATATACCAAATTTCATAAAGATTAGTTAAGCCGTTAAAACGCTATAATGTAACAAACAAACTCGTTTTTACATTTATAATATTAGTAAGAATTGAAAAGAAAGTAACAAAACACTATAATAGTTATACACACACACATACACCAACACATCCTACAACTTTCATAAATCCTAATTCATTTATTAGTCATGAAATCTTATTGTAATTCTTTTTTTTTTTATTTTATATTCTATTCTACTTTATTTATATATAAATATTTTGTGTGTAGTTTCGTTATTATAATTCTTACAATTTTTTTTCGACCCTTATGTGGGCGTAGTCATATATTTCTGTAAAATGAAGTTTCTTTCTTTATATTTCTTTCTTTCTTTCATTAAAAATAACTGCTGTATATAAACTAATATGTAAATAATTATCTGTACTACTAAAAAGCCTATGTTAATTTTCTTTAAGCATGTATTTGACAATACGATTCCCGGTTCCTACAGGACAGGCTCAACCTAATGTAGGAATCAACTTTTGCTTAAACAAATATACTTTAATAATAAATACATTTTTACTTATTACTTTTATAATAAAGCTATTAAAAGTTATAATAGGTTTTTAAAAGAGGTTTTAGTTTTAAAAATAAAGGGTAAGTCTATTAGTACTTATTTAAGTACGTTAGTTATATCATGTCTGTGGTATAGAGCATTATGTCTGTAGTGTATTCATCAATTATTACTTGGAGACTAACATCTCTCCCATCTCCATTAAATATGAGCCCAGCCCACGCCTTCGTCAGCACAGCCGAGATTGATTGTACCTTCATATGCCAAGAAGAAACTAATGCATTTTCACCTTTACAATATTACTATGTCTTACAATTTTTTTTTTACAACACAGGGGGTAAACGAGCATGCGGCTCACCTGATGGTAAGTGACTACCGCCGCCCATGAGCACCCACAACACCAAAGGCATTGCAAATGTGCTGCCAGCCTTTTAAAAAGGAATATGCTCTTTTCTTGAAGGTTAGGATGTCGTATCGATTCAAAAATACTGCTGCTGGAAGTTAATTCCAAAGAGTGGTTATGCGTGGAAGAAAGTGCCTTGAAAAACGCACGGTGGAAGACCGCCACTCGTCCAGATGGTTGGAATGAAACTTTATATAATTTATGACTCCATCAACAAATTTTGCCAATATATAAGATTTTTTACCCTACCTGTGCCATCACTGGCAGCGTACTAGTGAAAAGATAGAAACAGCTGATTTATCGTGATAAATTCATCAATAATTAACCGCAAAGGTTTTCAGAAAGACATAACAGTATATATTATTAACATTAGGGGTGGTACTTTATACGCCACGGATAGTAGTTAGTTGGAGAAATCTTAGGAAAATATATATAAGAGAAACATCGAGCTTCAAATTTTATTAGTAAACAAGCACACTACAAAGGATGTCAAAAATAAAATAAAAGTAATATAATATTTATACCTTTGATGTTATCTATTCTAATAGTTACTGATCGTACCTTCTTCCTCTTATGTCAAGATTTGGAATGACTATTTCTTTTTATGGAACTTGATAAAGCAAACAAGTAGGCCCACCTGATGAATAGGAGTAACAGCCGCCTATAGACATGAATAGTACCATGGACATAAAAGAGTATACTGTGTATTGTCTTTTATTTTTTATAATTAGAGATTAATAATTATGCACATATCTTCACGAAGCATTTATTTATTTTTATTTATATATTTACAGTTTATTGCACCATTCACAAAATAGTAATTCTAATGAGAAATGATACAAAAGGCGGCCTTATCGCTAAGCAATCTCTTCCAGACAACCTTTGCTTAGAGGACATTGAGAAAAGAAAAAAGACCAAGGGTAGGTGGCGCACTATATATATATATAAACAAATATATACCATACATAAATATATACATACTCAAAAACACATATACAACAGGAGAGAATGAAACTGAAAGATGAAGAGAGAACACGGAAAAATAGTACTTAAAAGGAAAGATAGTAGGATTTGACAGAGGTTTTGAAGCTAGTGAGAGATTGATCGCACCAAATAGAGTCAGGTAGTGAGTTCCACAGGCGAACTGCTTGCACAGTAAAGGATTTACTTAGCAGTTTTATATTAATTAACGATGTCTTTTTATTATATTTGTTTTCGTAAAATTTACTCACTGATCTATATTTACAAAACACTGTGTCTTGGTAATCCCTTATGGATTTCCGCGATACAGGTTCGCTTAATGCAGGGCCCAAAGTACTCATGTTGTATATTTATTGTGTTTAATTAATAAATAAATAATAAAATCATAAAGAAATTAAATAATGTTAGATCGAATGGTTATCGTGCAATTGTTTAAAGAATATTAACAGCATAACAAATATAATTCGTTAAACAAATGTAATAATAATCGTTAGTAGGAAATGGAGGAAGGAAACTCTCAGAGGCCGTAGACAGAAGACATATCAATGCACATAACTACTTCCAAGGAATATTGATTATCGACGAGCTAGGTCACACGTTTCATAAGGAGTGAAATCATTACACCTGTCTGGACGGATTTTTCCATAAACTTATAAGATCTGTTGTTTTCCCCATATCGAACGCAATATAGACGGTTATATACTACTTTTATACGAAAATGTCCAGTAGTGGGACTTTAATGAGTTGTTGACCACGTCTGTTATGTATCTACTCTTTTAATTTTTTTATGTTTGTTACCTCATAACTCCGTCAGTTCTCAACCGATTTGTTTCCAAAATCGATTTAGAACTATAGTTATTATAAGAATTATAAGCTTTTTTTCTAAGGATATATTTACAGATTGATCTCATAGAAATTTTATCAAAAACCAAAATAACTGGTTTTGTCACTCTTGATGTCGGTTTTTTTTTACACAATATTTATATCTGTTCCGTTTAGACAAGAGTATTAGGTTTCTTTCTTGGTTTAGGCTATATATTTAATATTTTTATAGATTAGTCAGTTAGTTAGAAGTGGACAAGCTTTCTTATTTGTTTATTTATATGCTTTTGTACATTCTTACCCTTAAAACCTTATCGCTTAATTTCTTCCAGTCAACCCTGAGAACCCGAAAGGAGAAAGTATCAATAAGGTTTGTATATAAAGCATAATATATATAATGCAAAGATAATATGATATATATTATATTAATAGCTATACCTATAGTTAGTAATAGAGTATAGATAAATAAAATTATATATATCAGTATTAGCAGGTATCTGTTTATTTATTTACCAACATAAGATACAGCTAAACACTTCAGTACAATACACTGGTAGATTAACTGTTCTTACATTTATAGGCAACCACAGCATGCCTTGTGTTTGATAAACATTACAATAGAATTAAATTATTAAATGTCATTAAATAAGTAAAAATATTAATAATATGAATAATAACATAATATAAATAATGGAAATTATAATGTAACTATTTTAAATGTTTCTATTTCTTTATATGTATTACATTTTACATGAAATTAGGATAAAATACACGAATAACATATCCACTTTGATATATCATCCTGCTAATTTTTAAATGTCTATATACATATATAATAACTAATACACAGTATTTACCTTTACCGTTTCATATGTTTTAAAAATAAAAATAATAGTATTATAAATGATAAAGTTTTTATAATAGTTTTAATATTTGTCCTTCAGTCACTCTATAATGGATCAACAGATTTGAATGACATTTAGTATACAGACAGATCATGTTCTAAAT